GAAAACCCGTCACTGCCGGTTCAAAGATTGTTATATGTCTGAACTTGGATTCAGAAGGTGTCAGTGCCACCAACTGGAGGGAGCCTTCCAACAAGTTAACCTGTGCCACAGCCCCTGACCACACCTATGTATCTCCTCAAATCTAACAAAAGCATGTCACGTTGAGTGCACCATCATACCAAGAGGCTAAAACTAATCACGAGTTTTTAGATGCAGCTGTTGTCAGGGCAAGACCACGCAGGAGAGACAAGAAACTAGCCATTGCCCCTCATGTTGCTGCCAACCAACATGTACACTCCAGGTCAGGACTGATGAGGGCAGCTCTGTCCTGTGTGTACATAAATTGCACATCATGTGAAGAAAGCACAGACCCACGGTCCTGCTCATGGGCTCACAGTAACTTACTGAGCAAATGCACTCTGACCTCAGCAGTGAGAAAATGAATGATATACTTGCCTATTATGCACGGGATTTAATTCTTATCCAGTGTAGAAAAAATCAAACCACTAATAAGGCCTTGTCTTTGAGACACAATTTATAGACAAATACCTAATATTGCCTTAATTCTTATCTGTAGTGTTACTCTCTTTCACTGTTGAATACGTAGTCAAATTCTAGGACATCTAGGTTGTTGAAAGTGTTATCACCAGTTCTCCATCTGTGAATTAAGGGTAAGTTATGCAACAAAAATGCTCACATAATTCCCAACACACTCCTCTAGAGAGATGGCAAACACCAACTCTGAGCATTTGGCTGTGCTTGGTCACCAACTTCGGTATCACAGTTTAGATCTGGCGTAAAGAGAGAGATTTGGGAGACTCCATTTATCATCAAAGAAAATGTAGTTTTTTTCAAAATCCACACACTACAGAAGTCCAGGTCTGACTGTCCTTGCAAATTGGTAAGTGAGAGCTCTTTTGAAACTAGTGTTTCCACTGAAACACATTCCCAATTATCCACTTGCATATTTTCTATCAACTCTTTTATGCCACAGTGATGAAAACAAGCTTTAGGACCGAAACCCAAAGTCCTGCAAAGCCTAAAATATCTGAACCTGTAAGAAAGTTTTTCTTCACTCCAGTGACTGACTTCACATTGTCACCAACTTTATAATACAATATATTATAAAACTATACAATCACGTATATTATGTATCACCATCCATAGGCCAACAGAGAACACGATATAAGAAGGGACCTGATGAATGCTTACACCTGCCTCTCACTGACTTCCTGAGATGATACACTTCAGTTACTATTCGTCTCAAAGTTTCAAAAACCACTGCTGTGGTTTCCTCAGCAGTGTACGTGATCCTGATAGATTTGTCCATGCCTATTTTTTAAAGAAAAATTCCCAGACCTTTTGCTTACTGATTCTCTCAGGATGATCTTACTAGCCATGTACTCCCGTAGTTTTCATCAAGCAATGAAGGAGTCCCTCCAAATTATCGGATTGGAAGGAAAGCGGAGGCAAATGAAATACCTCCTGGGATCTGTGTAAAACTGGGATAAAAGGAACTTAAGAAAAGCACTCCAGGGTAGACCTCTGTCCAGGCTGGAGAGTCTCACCAGGCAGGAGCCCCGTGTTGGGTCCTTTGAAGGACAATGCCGCAGTCTCCATTCTTAGTGTATTAATTTATATTTTATTACATCCTTTCAATTGTCAGTACAATTCCTCATTGTGTTGTTTTCGCAGTAGGAGAACCTATAGCTTCATGTAGGTTTTTCAAGGAAGTTTTATAGGTGACATTTCTGAGCTCCATCATAATGGGGTGTGTCATTCCACTGGCTTCATTCATAAAACTTTCATAATCTCACTGGAGATGATAAAGTGGGGTCACAGACTTTTCCTCTTAATAAACAGTAGGAGTTACTCCATTGGCTTCTGCAGAAACGTGGAAGGATAGTCTGATCTTAGCATGCCAAAGAAAACAAAAACAAAATTGCAAATTTCCATATTCCCATTGTTTACTTTCAAGCTTTTGTGTTAATCATTCTTCCCGAGAACACTTAGAGTGACTGGTCCCCTCCAGTGCTCTGACCCACACAACCGAGTCCTGCTCATCATTTTGAACTTTTTTTCTCCTTTGTTTAGCATCTGAGAAGAGCTTATCATGTTTGTCTTCCCCATTACTGATCTGATTTCTCAGTGTCAAATCTGTCCTTTCCTGCCGGCCCGGTGGATTTAATTTGGAGGCTGCATTTTAAAATTTCATTATCCTCTCCATTATTCTTTCCTTCCTGGCATTTTCCCTAGAGGATGATGCTTCTTTCTCAAGATTTTCTGATTCTGTTTCATAATAACGGTATCGTTTTACACACTACTGAGAAGGCTCAGCAATTTTCCTATAAATGTTTCCTATTTCCCTTTTAAGTCCTCAGGATGATTTTATTTTTCTCCTATTCTTTATCAAATTTTAAAGACTCATTGTTGAGCTGCTTTGAGACATTCTAATAATGAGAAGTTTACACAGAAGGGGGGTGGAGAAAGAAAAAGGTGCACGCAGAGGCTGGCCCTCACGGTACCACACTCAGAATCTAGCTGGGTTTATAGAATTTACATTTCACGGGACTGACATGGGATTTCCTTCCCTAACAATTCTCAAAGTCTAAAGATAACAGCTTCTACTTCTGTCCCTAGCAAGGGGCCTTAACTTTGTACTTGGAGAAACTGTTCTGTTGGCTTCACCGAAACTGCCCACCAGCCCCTTCCATGCACCTGTGACCCCTCCCAGCCCTGCTCTGAAGACACAGGTGAGAGACACAGAGAAAGGCAAGAGATGGGGTGACACAGACTGGACTTTGGTGAGCTAAACATAATAGGACCCAAATGCAGAGGCGACGCCCAGACAAAGTCAGTGGGTGAATGGCCGCTCTCCCCTAACTCCCGACTCACTTCCTTCCCCTGGAGTTTGCTGTCAGTGAGTGGGTAGAGACAGCGACAGGCAGGCCCTGGGGATGACGGCGTGGATGGATTGGCCTTAGGCCAGCATGAGGACGACACAGCCTGGACAGCTCCTCAGCCTTTAACTTGTCCCAAACTGATGACAGAAGACAGAGGAGGGCAGCAGCAGGGGTCTCATATGCCCCTTCTCACCAGCTTACTGCACAACTGGATGAAGCAGCACGAATAGTAAGGTGTCTAACTCCCAAATGTTGGCCCCGGTAGGCATCATGCCCCAGACAGCACATTGTATCACTAATCCCGCATTATGATAATGTCAGGGGGGAGGATGTCCTGAAGGAACTCTGCGGAGTCTTGTGGACTCCACCCTCTACCCCAGTTTTGTAACAATAATAAATGAGTGTTTCATGAAAGGTTATGACTTTTCTATTTTGTTAATGGGTATTATGGTGGGAAGACAGGACTGCCTAAGTAGATGCAGCTTTCAGGGGTCATTTCATAGGAGAAGGTCTAGTCCTCACTCCTTACATCTGTTGCATCTGGCAATTCCTCTTCTGGTTCTGAGCAAAAAAAGAGTCCAGGGCCACCTGCCATCTCCACTGTGGCTTGTTCTGGTGTGACTCTCTCCTTGTTCTCAGTCCCGGTGAGGAGCAGCACTTTCCCCAACCCTATGAAATGTGGGTGTGGGGGGACGCTAGGAGGAGTGAGCCCCCTTCCTGGGAACTTGTTTTGCAGCCACCTCCCCTGCGTGTGAGCTCTAGGTGGATCTGATCAAAAGCCCAGGTCAGACTGACTTGATTTACGTTAACTCAGTCCTGCATATGGCTCTTCTGTGACAGCTGAACACGCGACAGCATCTCTTGGTCTGGTCAACGCCTGCTGCCTGTGAGCTGTGGGCTGCTCAGCCCCACCCTGCCGCCCTCAGCTGTCCACTGCCCTGTCCTTTCAGTCTATTCCTCTAGATTCAAACTGGATTCTCGTCACCCAGTTTACTCTCTGACCGTCCCTAAAGCTGGGTTCTGGGTTCTGTTTCCCATTTTCTTTCTTTCTCACTGGTGGAGTCGCTGTTAGACTAACACATGTTGTCAAGAGCCAGCTGTTACCAGCCTCATTCACAATATGCTGACAGGATTTGGTCAATATAGCATTTAGGGGGGACTGTAGACCAAAAAGCACAATATAATTAAGTACTGCATGTACTGATGTGAGCATAGACCAGAAACCCAAATTTTGGACACTTAACATTCTGCTTGATATTTCAGTAATGATGAAATGTTAGCTATTAAATTATACATGCTAATTTTTTGAGATTTAGGACCCTAAGGGTCCTGAATGGTATTTAGCAGAATGTAGTATTCAGCATTTTTAAGGTCACTAAAGGTTTATAAGGCAGAGAAACAAACTGATTAGTCAGGAATATTAGTCAGTGATATTCTTATCAACCAATCAGCTCTCAAATTCTCCTGTCTAATGGCAGCACATTAAATATTGTTGCATGACAATACTGTCCCTCCATATAGCTGACTTCATCCATCACCTCAAAGAGTTTTATAGATCTACAGATACTATCTGAAAGCTTTGTTACAGGTGAATGGTCCAAACAAGAGTCATAGGAATTTCTTACAGAAACAGTAACCATAAGCAGATGAGGTCAAGACACGAGAATTATCAGCAAGCTCAAAGCTCAGGTTTCTAGCTAGAATACCCCTATACAATAAGACTTAATACAAACTATGAATGATACTCTCATGTGTCATTTTAAATGCTCTAATAGTCATATTTGAAAGTATTTTAAAAGCAGGTAAAACTAACTGTATGAACAATTTCCTGAACCCAATAAATCCAAAATGTTAACATTTTATTATGGAAAGTTTATTTTTCCCTGTATATGCGCTAAGAATTCAAAGCCTAGTGTGCCCTTGACAATTACAAATCATCTCAGAGTGGATGAGTGATTAATCACCCACCGGGGCTAACGGCCACCCTCCTGCATGGCTCAGGTCTAGATGTTTCTGTCAGCCTCGTACCCTAAGAAGAAAGCGCTTTCTAGAAAAAATAAGCAACGTGAGAGACAATCATCAGTTGCTGTCTCTTACCTACACAAATCCTCTTTTATGTGAAGTGAGATCAACTCCCTGGGAATGTGGAAGGAGAGGATGCTCTCTGACATCTGCTCCCGGATCCGCATCCACTTGTTGTCTGACGTGGGGAACCTGTACAGCTTACACACCGGGTTCTTCAACACTGGGGAGGAGGACAAAAGGGTTATTATGTAAGTGCTTAAATTATGAAAAACTGCACATAGGTATCAACAACTAATGAACTTTCACATCAATGAATTATTACAATTATTGGATTGAAAAGTTACTTTTTTTTAATCATGATCTATAAGTGTATTTGAATTTCCAAGAATTTTTTTTCATAAATCTTGCTTTTTTTTTTTCAGCAGCTTCTGGGACATACAGTTTTTATTAAATGAAAACATGATACCTCAAATGCTAATTTATAAATGTGTTAACTCTAGTACTCTAATTCCTTTCTCTTCTAGAGATGTTCTTAAAACAGAGGTATTTATAAATATAAAAACTATATAGATTAATATATAACACATTTTGAAATAATATGTCTTTGGATCTCAGTCAATTTTATCCACTTACACAGTAGGTGACAACTGATGTTATTTCAGAGGATTGAAATGGCCCTACTACTGAAAAATGATTTATTTCTTAAATGGACAAAAAGGAAGAAGGTTCATTCCTTTTTAGCTGAAGTTTCATTGCAATTCAAATATTATGCATATTTTAGTGTCAATGAGTCAACAACCCATTTTCCTAAAACTATATTATGAGAAGCAAGACTATGGACAAACCATAATTAGAGTAGTGAGATGTGAGAAGTAACCGGGTAATATCATCAGGAATTTTAATAGATTTGAGGAAAAAGGACAGGGTCAGGCATTGAGATAATAGCTGACATATGTATGTGTGTGTGTGAGTGTGTGTGTGTGTGGCATTTTTCTACCACACTGGCAAGTCATATATTTTAGAGCAGACTGCTATTCCCCTCACCACTGGGCCATAAATACCTTTGTTATACTCACAGGCAAAAACAGGCGGAAAAGTACCAGGCCAATCCCTAGGCAAATATCTACAATTATTTGGCTCCAAATTACCAGTTAAGGTGATTAGAGACAGAAGTAGCCATTGAAGTGGATGTAAGGCTTTAAGTAAGGTCCAGCATGGTATGTGACCAAGTGCCCTCAATGTAGAGGGTATAATACCTGTCAAAATGTGTACGGTTCCATAAGACTGTATCTCATTCACCACTTGTGTAAACATATGATATCTCTCGGAAGATTAAAATGAGGATGTATTTACTTGTCCCTCTATGATCTTGCATTCTTAGAAGTACAGTCTGGAAATTACCATTATCAGAGTTAATGTCCCACTGGAAACCTTGCTGTCAAATATTTCATTCTTCAGTGACCAGGTTGAAACCCGCCAGTACTCCTATCTATCCCTATGAGGGGCTGACCAGAGTGCTCACTTAAAAAAAAAAACCTGTAGAAGCCAGAAGACTGGAGACGATGCTAGTTAATTGAGAGGCAGTTTTTAAAATCTAGAGTTGTATGTTCAAAGAAATTATATATTTAACATAAATGTGATCACTGAGCTTTATAAATTAGATTATAAAAGATTCATGTTTAAAGTTAATTACACTTATTTTACATGAAATGTAGTTAGCCCGTGAAAAAACTATGAGATTCCATTCAATTTTAGAGTGACAATGTTTCAAGATGCAAGAAGAATCTAACTACAACCTCCGTTGCCATATCTCTACAGCTTAAGAAGAAAATAAAAGCATGTTCTGAATTTAACATAGTGTCAGTCAGAGTAAACAGTCGATAGGATCTCATCAATTCTAATACAATTAACATGATCAGGAATATAAGTGCATTTTTTATAGTAAGAGAAAAATAACAGTCTCTGAAATGTTCAAATTTATTCTTAGTAACCTAGATAGTCAACTATTTGGCATGTCTGTGTTCATGTACTGTTATTTAACTTTAGGATTTATTTTTTCAAAATTACATTGAATTTTTACACTTCCCCCAAATTGTCTAAAGTCGTTGGATTTTTCTTTCTTTTTTACAAAAAAAGTAATTTCTCTTTTTACAAAATAAAAAGTAATGATCTATAAAATTTGTATTTTGAATTGTGTTACACAGTAGAAAATCCTTCATTTTCTCTGTAGATCCCCCAATAAGTTCTACTTTTGTTTATTGTTTTCCATTTATTTGTGTTATAAATGTAAGCCTTTGTTGAAAGGGCTTGAGCAGTTTGGTTAATGAGTTAGGGGACTCTCCTCTGACCACCGGGCACCTATCACCCAAGACTTCGTGTGGAAGATGCTGATTTTAATGAAACACTTGGGGCAGATAATTTTAAAAACCAGGTAACTTGATCACCCAAAATTCTTCTCAACAATATCTTTATCTAACTTTTATCTTATAGGTCCTGCTCATCTGAAACTCATAGGTCTCCAAAGATGGCTTTAGTATAAACTAAATTCTGTTTATCAGGTTCTCAAAGGCAACACAGTGGGATCCATTTCAAACAGTGTGACCCAGCCATCTTCCTCATGGGACACCTATTTATGTATAAAGCATGAATCCTAAAGTACCACATTATGCAGTCTAATTTTAAAATTTGAAAAAAAAAAATAGGGCTTGATTTTAAAGCTCACGTAAATGTGCTGTACTGGTTACAAGAACAAGGAAAGAGAACAGATGATTTCAACTACAAATTCTTGCTGGGCTGAGAGTGGGCCTATCCTCATAGATCTCACGTAACGAACATTGAACAGTGGCTCCAGATGACAAGCATTCTATCGGTTTTTTGAATGCATCTCCCATTATTGTGGCGAGATAGGTCCAACGGTTCCCTGCATGCCCCAGGCGTGTCAGTGATTCTCACATTCAGCTCCTGTTCTCAGTGGTGCCAAATGCTCCTTCAAAGAGAAGGTGCATTTTTTGAGCAGTAGGATCAACCCTGAAACAATAACTATGTGACATCTATTTAAGTTCCTTTTACAGAAAGTCTTATGTATGTCCTCATCTTCATTCCTTCACTGTTTTTGTCAAAAAACAATTGCTTGGGCCCTCCCTGGTGGCACAGTGGGTTAAAGCACAGCACTGGGAAGCTAAAGCCACTT